TGAAATCTTGTTTTCTGTCTCTTGGTGTTTACAGCTTTCAACTACTAACTTATTCAGAACTCCTCTCAAGTTTTTAGTTTTAATTTTTTTTTCAGCATTTCACAAATTGTGCGGCCTATTTTTTTTTTTGGCTCTGCTCTGACCTCTCATGGTTTGTCTTCCTCTGCAATGTATCAGAAAGTAAATATAAAAGTGCTCTTAAATCCATTTTCACTGCTTTTTAAAAATAATTCTCTGAAATATTTGATATCTGTCTTGCACCTCTTACTATTTGACCACGTATGATTGGCCTCATTATTAATGACATTTCATGCAGCTTGATTTTCTCTGTCTACAAAATTTATGCAGCAGGTCTTTTAGAATATCAGAAAAGAGAAAAATATGTACTGCAAAAATTTCTATTTGGGAGAGGAAAAAAGAGAAATGTATACCGGCGTGCATGGAAAGGCAGGCATCTCAGCTTGCAGGTTAGGTCTTTCATGACGCTTCCTTGGGATACTCTGGAAAAAGTCGCGCTATATATAGAGGGGCCTGAGATAATATTTCAACACATCATTTCCTTCTCCCTCGGCGTTCGTGCTCTCATTGGTTTGTCACGAAGCTCTCGCTGTTTGGTTTGTCATTATGATGTTGGTTACTGATGAAACGGTGGATAATTTTGGTTGGTTGTACATTCATACCAGGTCACTAGGGATGAGAAGCTATTAGAAACAGCCAAGGGAGAGCGAGAGCTGCGGGAAATGAGTAAAGGACAAGAAAAAGGGCACTCATGGAAGCTAAGTCCAAGGCCTGAGTCATACTGGTGTGGACTGGCTCAGGCTCCCCAAGACATGAGTTGGTGATCAGCACGTTTAAGGAAAAAGAACTGGACTCCCACTTTAAGCCTGGATACATAAATGCGCCCATGGCTTAAACTACACATTGCTGAGCATAACAGAGGCAAGAGATAGTGATATGTTCTTCAATTGAAAATATATTGTTATTACAGGCTTCCTTCTGCGTTTGGAGAACTGTTCAAGAAATGTCCTCCTGGTATTCTTGAAGGAAATAGCAGAAAGGGAGAGGGCTGTGGGGTACGCAGGAAAAACTGGCAGCTGAGAGAAAGATCAGGTATTCCCCTTGCATATAAATCAAAAATGTATTTAATGTATATACTGATTATTCTTGGAAAGGTTGTAGAATAGAGCAGTAAATGAAATTGTTCTTCAAAGGCAAGCAGACCTCTGTTAAGTTCTGTGGATGTGAGACCACAAATGACACATTAAAACATTTTACAACTTGTACATTACAGAAGCTGGGATGTTCAGGAACTCTCTTAGAAACTTGACTAAGCTGAGCCTGTCCATTCAGCTCTTGAATTTTGGGGTCAGACGATGAAGCTCAAGTCTGTGTCCTTATAGTAGAATGTAGATGCTGATTGTAAAATAACTAAATTGTATCTTTACATCCATCTATAATTCTCAGAATGGTCTCTCTATGCAGCAGTCACCAGGGTATTGCTATTAAGAGGAGTTTAC